TGCAGCCAATCCGTGCCCACCTCCTGTGCAGCAGGAGGGCAGCACCCTGCTCACCTGCACAGGGACACACTGCCTTGCTCAGGCACAGGATGGCAGCAGGTCTGCCTTGTCTTTGCAGGACAAGATAGATTTGCAGACAAAGATTCCCTGCTTCTTTCCCTGCCCTCGTTGTCTCCCTCCCCTTCTGCAAATCCCTGTATGGAGAAGCAGATTTTGAGCCACAAGCAGAATTTCCCAGGGCGCATCCCCAGCTCCGTGTCCTGCTCTGGTGGGAGAGCAGCTGCTTGTTGGGCTCATTACGGCCATTGCCCAGGTGAGAGCCAGGGATGCTCCTTCATCCCTGCATTGGTCCTTCCAAATGTAGCTGGGATAGTCCAACAGCCATCACTGCTGTTGGCAAAACACTGACATCAAAACCAATCGAATTACTTCAGAACAAACAAACAAACCATTATCTGGTTTTGCGTGGAAATTCTCAGGGCACAGGAAAGGCTGTCTTTTGGGGGGGTTCTTGTGCACCTCCAGGATTCAAGTGCAGGCAGATAGCTCACCTTCCTCATTGCCTATAAATGGGGTCAGATGCTTGCCCCTTTCCCCAGCAGCAGCAGAGCTCCATGTGCTTTCATGGTCGTCCAGGCAGTGCTCTGAACTTTTGGGAGACCAGATCACTTGTGTTCACTTGGATGGGCTGGAGATCAGCCAAAAGCAAAAGCAGAATGGAAGAAACGCCCACCACAGCCCAACTCACTGCCTACAGAAACTGTAGAGGACAGGGAAAAATGGGTGAGCTCTCCGTGGTGAGTCAAGCAGGGAATAAATCTCCACCTGTCCTAAATTCTCACAAGTCTTTTAGAAGAGCAAGAGAAAGCAGGCTGCATGAGATAAGCTCAGAGGTATCGAAAGCTGCTGAAAACCTGAGCTGTAAGCTCAGTGCTTAGCGCAGGGAGCCGTGGCTTTGATGGAAAGATGCTGGTGCCTTCTTGTTGGCATGCACAAGTCCTGGAAATGCCCGACGCTCAGCCTGGCTGGAGGTAAGTGGGGCACTGAGCACCTGGCCGACCCCACGTGCATCCCACATGGACCTCACACACCCCTCAGCTGCTCCCCAGCCCACCTGTGTGCCCTGGGTGACTCATGGCTGTGTGGAGGCTGGAGGATGGTCTGGAGGAGACCGTGGGTTTGACTGGAGCTGCTTTTCCTTCTCTCCTAGCATGGCCAGGGCTGGGGCAGTGCAACTTAGGAGGAAGTGTGGTCGGTGGGTCCTGTCTGCTCACAGCTGGGGTGGTCACTGCTTCTGAGCAGCAGCACAGGAAAGAGACACGGATGATGAAAGGGAGGGAAGAAATGCGAGAGTAAATCAGTCTGGCTCGCCTAAGTTATGACTAAACGGGGAGTATGATACATCTGCAAATATTAGAAATGTGTAAACACAGAGGAGGGAGAGGGATGATTTATGGGATGATTGAAGGGAATGAACTTTTGGATGGGAAAATGTAGGTCAAGTAGCGAGGAGAACTTGCAGGCATTGAGATAACTGCTGGCAGCAGGAGCAGCTCCTCCTCGGGAGTGGGGATGAAATCCCATGGCGGCAGTGGGGACTCAGGGAGGGCGGGTGGCAGCACGGGGGTCCCCCTGGGGATGGCAGCAGGGTGATGTGGCCCCTCCAGAGCAGAGCAGGCCATGTGTGGGCCGTGCACTGCGTGTGCAGTTTGGTCCTTTTCCTGTTCCTGCACCGTGTGGGGGTGGAGGCGATGATTTGTTGTTGTGTGCACAGTCAGTGTTTGCAGCAGGACCTCAGTGTAACACAGCGTGCTGTATATGAACCGTGCTCTTCACTATTTGCTATTTAGTATTTGTAACCGTGGAGCGTGGAAGAGAGCGTGCAAGAGAGGCTTCAGTGGCTTTCTGTGCTGTGTTGTTGGCAGGCTGGCTTCAGGGGAAAAGCCCAAAAGATCGCTCACAAAAAGCAATTGGTGGTGAGTTGTCTGGCAGCGGATCTGTGGTTTTAGTCCTGGCGTCTCAGGCTTTATCTGCTGTCTTCCAGGCTCACTTTTCATAGAATCATACAATCACAGAATGGTCTGGATTGCAAAGGACCACAATGATCATTCAGTAACAACCCTCTGCTATGTGCAGGTCGCCAACCAGCAGCCCAGGCTGCCCAGAGCCACATCCAGCCTGGCCTTGAATGCCTGCAGGGATGGGGCATCCACAGCCTCCTTGGGCAACCTGTTCCACTGCCTCACCACCCTCTTTTGCCCTGAGACATCTCATGAGCTGTACCTAACTGTGTGGGAGCTGTTGATCACAGCCTGAACCTCTGATTGACCATCTGAGGTGAGCACTGAGTCAGCCCTGGGAGCACAGGTGAAGGCAATTCTCCTGTGCTACTGGAAGGGCTGGAGCCAGGCTGCACCTCTCCTAGGCCCCATTGAAGAGCTGCCTACCAGTGGGGAAGGGTCTCTTCTGGAGATTGCTCCTCTTGGAGTATTCTTAGTGAGCCCAGGACAAGGGTAAGCTTTCCATCCATTCTTCTTTAGTGTGATAACCAGTTTGGCCTAACTTTCTTGTATATTTCTCAATTATAACATCCGCATGTTTGCTGATTATACATTAACTCATTCTGTTCGTGGTGCAGCCGGCACATCCTGTTTATAACCCCGGAAAGACTTTGGCTTTCAGGACAACTCATCCCACCCAGCTTCAGCCATTTGAAGCATGTGATCTATGCTGGCTGTCAGGCACCAAGCCCTGGAGCTGCCCAGCGCTCAGCCTGGTTGGAGGCAGAGTGGGGCACTGAGCACCTGGCCGACCTCACGTGCATCCCCATGGCCTCAGCATCCCTCAGCTGCTCCCCACCGGTGTGCCGCTGGGTGACTCATCCTCAGCAGCCAGCAGGGAGGGAGCAGCACCTCCTATACTTGCAGCCTGAGCCAGTAGCTCAGATAACAACCGCAGTAACGAGTTCACTTAGAAGGTCAGAAATCGAGTCCCGAACGCCTAACAGAACGAAACACTTTGACCGGGGCGCGTTTGTGGCAGGAGGTGTATTTCATAAGGCTGCTGTTCTCGCTGCCTTTTCTTCCTGTCGCTCTGACAGCCGGGCCGATGCTCGCTGCCCGCCCGGTGCCCCGGACTCGCCCGCTCCGTGCCCGCGGAGCGCAGCTGCGTGCCGCCCGTGCCCCCTAACGGGGAGAAGGGGAACGCGCCCGGCCGGGCGGCACGGCGCCGAGCCCGTCGGCGGGATGGAGCGCCGGGATCGCGCTTCTCGTGCGGGCTGAGGGGCAGAAGTGAGGACTTGCCGAGCTGTAGAAGCACAGGGTCATCGGGTGGCTTAGATGGGACCTTAGAGATCATCCGTCGCTGTCCTGTCTGGCCAGCGGATGCTTTCTCCTGGTTCTCCTTCCTGCCTAACGTAACTTATCGTTACCTGCTGAAGCGCTCAGCGGTCTGCTGTGTCTCACCGAGCTCCCGCTGAGAGCAATGGGAGGCATTTCTTTCTCTGAGCAGAACCCACGTGCCTGCTGAGCACCGTGGGGCAGCTCGGTGCTGTGTGCTTCCCTGGGTCTCGTCCTCCTGGTTTCCCAGCACCCTGAGGAATGCAGGCTGCTCAGGAGGGCCGGTGCTGGTTATCCTTACTTGCAGTCCTATAATACCTTATCTGCAGCCTTACAGAACCCCGTCTGCAGCCCTTTAAGTCCATGTCCGCGCCATGGAGAAAGAGGTTCAGGAGAAGGAGGAGGCAGTGGGGTTGGGGAAGCCATTACCCCAGGCTCGCTGCCCTTCTCCCCTCCTCCTCGGCCCCAGAGAATGAGCTCAGTCAGATGCAGATCCAGAAGCAGAGCTCTGAGCTCTTCCTCCCAGCCGTGTCCTCGTGGGCTGATTACAGTCAGTCCCTCCTCTGGAGCTGTTCCACTTTGTCTAAATAATTAACATCCAGAGGGCCAGAGAGAAAAAGCAGGGCTGCAGCTGGAGCTCCACTTCCCAGCTGAAGCCCTGGCCACAGGGCTATTGCCTGCTCCGTGTATTGCGTCCTGGCCCCCAGTAAATTTGATCTGATGAAAGTTTCAGCAAAGCACGCTTCCATGAAAATTCTAGTTTTCATGAATTGGCATTTTCCAGGAAAAAAAAAAAAGGGGGGGGGGGGGGGGGTGAAAAGCAATGGAAAGAACTTGCCAAGAATTTCCCAACCAGCATTAATCCTGAGACACTACTATGGTCCAAACAGACGATGATAAGGATCTATGGAAAACATGGGGAAACAAAGAAGAGATGTTTTTAAAGCCTCCAGAAAATAAAAATCCAGCTGGAAGGAGGGGCATGGGGTTTATCCCAGCACGCTCAGGAGGGAGATTCATTCCCTTTGAATCGCAGGGAGCCCTTTCTAGTTGGTTTCAAAGGAAGTTGGATGTGGTCATTAATGTGACCTTCATTTTGTTGCTAAATGATACGTTTGTGGATGAGCTGGAAATGCTGGGGAGGTGCAGCCTGGGGAAGCTCATTGCTCAGAGCTCTTCTCCAGTGCAGTTGGGCACTGCCCCCCATGCCCGGTGCCTGGGAGATGTGGGGGTGAGCTCTGCACTGTGGCCATAGGGCTGTGCCTGGCCCCACATCTCTGCAGCTACAGCAGGCACTGAGGTGGGGAGGTGGGCATGGTTGTGTGCTTCTGAGTGGCTTTTCCAGCAGGCAGAGAGCTCGGAGATGCCCAAAAAATGGGCGGCTCCACGGGGAGGGCACCAGCAGCTCAGCACGTCCCTGCCCATCCTATGGCTGGTGCCACGTAGTTGGTTCACTTCTGTGATGACTTTTATTTGATTCGATGAGCTCTGCAGCCTCTCAAGTTCTCCTTTAGCTGGCGGTTAGCTCAGTAAGCAGCCCAGATGTGCCGACGAGCACTTCCAAGTGAGATAGGGGCCCTCTTCCTGTTAACCCAGCTCTCTGCATCTCTGGGTCTGCCGGGTGCTGGGGAGTGACATGTCCCTCTTGGTGACTTCCCCTAGGCTGTCTACAAGGCCTGGCTGTGCTCCGAGTATTTCAACGTGACACAACAACAGTGCCGACACCGGATCCCATGCAAGCAATACTGCCTGGAGGTGCAGACCAGGTGCCCGTTTGTGTTACCGGACAACGACGAGCTGATCTATGGAGGCTTGCCTGGCTTCATCTGCACGGGTAAGGATGGCGGGGCTGCGAGGGATGGAGGTGCACCTCATAGGGGTGCTGTATGGTCTTGAAGTCTCTTTGGGAGGGAGGAGGAGGTTCCTGGGCTGGGTCCCCTCCGTGCCACCGCACTGACCCCACTCCTTCCTGCAGGGCTGCTGGAGAGCCAGCTGCCCGAGGAGGAGGCCAAGTGCTGCGAGGTGCAATGGGACTCCTGCGACCACCCCCCAGACAGCAGCTCCGACACATCCCCCAAATCCACGGCGTCAGAGTCGCTCCATTACCACCGCCACGACCCCCACCTCCATCACCAGCGGCAGAACCACTACCATCTCTACCACCACCACCAGTACCACCACTCCCCGTCCTTGCTGCCGGTCTCCGCAGGGTCTCGCCTGGGCAGCAGCAGGATCCGGCTGTGCGTGCTGGTTCTGATGCTCCTCCACACCATGGTGTCTTTCTCGAGCGTGCACAGTGGCGGCGGGGGGCTCGGCCCAGAGACCCTGCCCTCCTTGGATGAGAGCGTGGCGCGGGACGAGTGATGCAGAAGGCAGAGCCGACCTCCGAGAGGAAACGCCAGATCTTTTTCCACGAAAGGGGGCACATGCTATTCCTCCAATGGGAGGCACGGGATCGGGGGTGACGCACACAGACACACCCCCACACATACCCCCAAGAGCTGCTCGCCGCGGGGCATCCCCGTGATGAAGAGTCTCTAATGCGCACAGAGCTGCGGGACTCGGCGGTGAGAAGGGTTCAGTCAGCAGCAGCCAGGCGGCTGGGCGTGGGGCGGGATGGGGATGGGGAGTGGAGGGGGTGGGACCCCTCGGGAGGTGGCCCCATGGGTACCACATGTGCCTTGGGTACCCACCAGCTATGTGCCAGGAGCGTGGAAATCAGCCTAACCCTCATTTCTCCTCTGTCCATAACGCCCAGCACCCTGTGCTCCCAAATGGGTGGGAGGGTATGGAGACAGCATCTCTCTGCAAACCCTTCTCTTTCCTTCCCATCCCTGGGGAAAACCCAGCAAGGCACGGCAGTCCCTACATGGCCTGGCCAGGCTCCTGCTGCTGGTGGTGCTGGCAGGGCTGTAGGATGCTGTCCTATGGTGCTGGTGGGGTTGGTGGGGCAGGAGGATGCTGCGCTGTGGTGCTGGTGGGATTGGTGTCACTTGGCCCAGCGCTCCTTGCTTTGCAACATGATGGTTCCATTTACCATCTCTTGTTTGCTTTCCCCATGGGAGAGGCTGCTCTCAGGGAGGTGTTAGGGAGACGTGGTGAAGCTGAGGGTGTCTTCAGCTTGCAGTGGGATCAAGGCTGGTAACAATTGGATGAAAGGCTTCAAAGGGCATCCTTCCATGCTTTGCGGCCACAAATCATCTACTGGATGGCAGAAGGACTGGGTGAAGGGCTGGAGAAATCTGGCTGGTAGGGATGGTCTCCCACACAGAGCAGAGGCGCTAATAAGGCCCAGCTGGGGAAGGGAGTTCTCCCAAATGCTTTTTATCAATAGTTGCCCCCAGATCAGAGAACATTGAGGAACCCGCCCGGAGCAGTGGTGCTCGCTCAGGCAAGGTGCAGCCTCAGTCAGTGCAGACTTTTTATACCTGAATTCAGCATTTCTGGGCATTCGGCCCCAAACGGACACCAGGTCCCTCCCTGCCATGAAGCTCCCAAATCCTCCATCCACCCACAAGGCTCTGCAGGCAGCACAGAGGAGGTGGGGAAGCAGGCTGCAGACAGCTGCGGGGGGCCGTGGTCACAGTGTGGGTGCACACCTCCTGCTTCCATCCCTGCCCCTTCAGGTCAGCCCAGGGTTAGGGTCAGGGTAGCCCTGTGGAAGGAATGAGGATTGTCCTGCTCTGCCCAGACCCATGCTAGGGCCCTGTGGAGCAGTGGGGAGGTTCAGGGCTGTGAGCATCTCTGGTTCCTGATCTGGTGAGGTAAAGCAAAGCCCCACGCACAGTGGGCAGCACCAGGAACTTTGCAGGAATGGCTGCTCCCAATGTTTCCAGCCCATTCACAGACCAAAGAGGCTCTGAAAAGCAGCTGAATGTGTGACTTCTGCTTTGACTTGAACCTCAGAGCTCTGGGGAGATGTTTACACACTACCAGTTACCTGTTACCAAAGTCCTGAGGATGCAGTGCCCATGGACTTGTTGTGCAGGGCTGTCGGGTAGGAGAGCTCACGCTTGTGGGAGGTGCAGAGCATTTCCCAAGCAGATTCTATTACTGTTGCCAGCCAGGATGAATAGGTAGGGAGATTCTTGTTTGAATATTCATGGCAGCATCCCTGTATTTGCAGACTGGTTTACAGCAAGCTGGGAACTCAGACGTGCAACCGCTCAGCACACAGGAGTGGGGCTGCTCCGTTTGCTGCGCTGCGGCACCGCGGCGTTGTGGCGAAGAGCAAAGGCACACAGCAAGAGCGAAGGAGGGAGAGCAGCCGCGTCCCATTCCTTCTTAAGGAAATGAGATTTTTCATGTACTGCCAAGAGTGAAGCTGATTCCAGGCGCCTCTCCCCAAGATAGGCTGTGTCCAATCTGGGGGAAAGCGTGGCCCCGTGTGGTGCATCAGCGCACGGCCCTGACTCAGCTCTGCTCTTTCTCTGCCCGCAGCTTGCTGGGGGTGCTGGGCCTCTGCCCCACGGCTACACAGAGTGACAGCAGCGGGGACAGCTTGGGGACACTGCATTTGGGTGCAGGGATGGGGATCCCAGGCAGGGAGCAGCCAGCTCAGGGTGCTGCTGTGAGGGGCTGCGGCATTACCTAGTGTGACTGCAAGGAAAGTGCTGAGTCTTCACAGAGCAGGGCTGTTGGAAGGAGTTCTTTTATTTAGCAAGTCTGGGCTGCTGTCAATAAGTTCTGTGGTTTTCGGGCACCATATGCTGTATTCAACACTTTGCCAATGGCGTTAAACAGATCCAGACGTGGCTGTTTGAGGAGCGGGACGGAGCAGCTGGGAGCGGTGCGTGGCGCAGTCCGACACTGTAGGGCCAACAGATAAAAATCTTCCCTCTGCCCTGGCGCTGCAACCCCAATAACCCTCCGCATCAGCCTTCCCTTTGCTAGAAGAGAGAAGCAGAAAGCAGACCGGGTGCAGGCTCAGCTGATACCCCACGGTTCCCCACTGCGCCCTTTGCACAGCATCCCCAGGGGAGCGCAGCCCCACGCAGCCCATCCTGCAGGAATTCAGCCCACGTTGCTCCTCCTTTCCCTTCCACTCACTGATCTGATTTCTCCCCCCGGTGCTGGGGGTCGGGATGGTGCTGCAGGGAGAGGTGGCCACGGCCATGGCCCGTCTGCTGTGCCAGCCCTCTGCACTGCGCTTTAATGTCGCTGCCAGTTGTACAAATTAATTAAAAATAACTGAAGAAAAATCCCAAAGAAAGGCCCCGCTTCCTCTGGTGAAGATTAATCATTAGTTGAGCCTTTTTCTTATGAAAATACAGATCCATGGTAGCCCCAGGCAAAAGATTCCCAGGGAGAGCCCTCACCATTCGTGCTCTGAGTTAGGGAAATCGCTTTGAAAGCATCTGACAACTAAAGCAGAACATGTTGAGTAACTTGGCAACACTCTGAAAACATCTTGAAATGGTTTTTGTTCAACACATTTTGCTTCGCTTCAATAGGAGATGTCAGGGCAGTTCATTCACTGCCACTCAGGGCTGCGGGCGATGCCGGGAGATGGCTCCTCTGCAAAGAACTGAAAACCCTGATATGTGCTGCTGTGAGCCAGGGGCAGGGTGGTGCTGCCACGTTGGAGTGGCCTGGAGCTCCGCATGGCTGCCTGTGCTGCGCCCTCATCCCGCATCCCATATCCTCCATCCCATGCTCTGCATCCCACATCCCGTATCTCTCATCCTCCATCCCACCCACAGCAGCTCTGCCCTGTTCCCAGCTGCCTGCTTCAGCCGCTGCCCTCTCAGCTTCCTCAGATGCCCATCCACAGCTTGCATTGGATCTGATATGTGGCCACCGCCCCAGGAAGGAACACCCCTAGAAATTAAGAGACAAATTCAAAACAGAAAAAATAACTGGAGAAAATGGCTGTGAAAATCTATGCAACATGCCCAGCAATTTTGTTTATAGATTTTTTTGAGCTGCCCTATGAATTTCCATCCATGGGAGCATAAATCATTATTCCAAGTATATTTAGAATCACAGAACGGCCTGGGCTGCAAAGCAGCACAATGCTCATCCAGTTCCAACCCCCTGCTGTGTGCAGGTCGTCAACCAGCAGCCCAGGCTGCCCAGAGCCACATCCAGCCTGGCCTTGGATGCCTGCAGGGATGGGGCATCCACAGCCTCCTTGGGCAACCTGTTCCAGTGCCTCACCACCTTCTGGCTGAAAAACTTCCTCCTAACACACAACCTAAACCTCCCCTGTCTCACTTTAAAACCTCCTGCCCTGTGCCCTGGATCCCAGCAGCTCAGGGCCTGCAGGCTCCATCTGGGTCATTCCTCAAGGATTTTGTCACAGTTCTTTGCACAGTGTTGGATGTGTCCGTAGGGTTGGGCTGCAGCTCAGCTCCAGGTACTGGAAATGGCCCTGAGTGGTTCCCACCTCCTCAGCATTCAGAACACTGGCACTTCATGGCCGTCCCACTGCAGAGCAGGACAGCTCTAACTTTGCTTGCTGTAAACTGAAACTCACCCACCACAAATTTTTAATTTATTTATTTATTTACTTTACAAATTGGCTTCAGCTTATGAAATTTGGGTTTGGTTTGGCCATTTTTAAATGTATTTATCTGGGAGCTGTCCATGCTTGAATTGCAAAACAAAAAGCCATTTTGAGCCAGATGGCTTTTTGGGTTGTTTCTTTTTCTTTTCATTTTGAAATGTATCAGGATGAGGCATATTGATAATTAGCACTAATTTTTTTTTTTCACATTCAGAAATGTATCCAGAACTGCCCTTTCCCACAAAACATTTCATTTTCCAAAAAAGAAAGAAAGAAAGAAAAAGACAAAAATCAATCACACTTTTTCTGCTCGCAGTTGGAACTGGTGGCGGTGGATTTGGAGAGAATAGCAATTTGTCAGGAATTCCAACCAGCTCGACTCAAAATAGCAAAACAGCACCCAGCCGTTTCTTGGGGGCAGTGGGCTGAGCAGCGCCGTGGTGAAAGCAAACTGGAGAGCTTCCTTCCTTCCTGCCTCTCTTACTTCTTTCCTTCCTCCAACCCTTCCTCCCCTTTTCCTTCCTTCTTCGTCCCTTCCTTCTTTTCTTCCCTCCCTTCCTCCATTTCTTCCTTTCTTCCTTCTTCCCGTCTCTCTTCCTTCCATTCTTTTTCTCCCTTCTTTCTTTCTCCTCTCTTCTTCCCTTCCTCTCTTCCTCCCTCACCTCTTTCCTTCCCTCTTTCCTCCTTTCCTTCCTTTTTTCCTCCCAGCCTTCCTCTCTTCCTTCTTTCTCCCTTCCTCCCTTCTTCCTTTCTTCCTTCTTTTCCTTCTTTCTCCCGTCCTTCCTCCCACCCTTCATCTTTTCCTTCTTCCTCTCTTTTTTCCTCCCTTCCTCCCTTCCTTTTTTCCTTCCTCCCATCTTCCCTCCCTGCATCCCCAGAGCTGCAGACCTGACACCCCACCAGTGGCTGCAGAGATGCTCCCATTGCAGACCCCACTGCAGTCCGGTGGCTGTGGGCTGCCCGCAGCCATCCCTCTGACCACACTCTGCTCTTTCCCAACCCGCTGCATCCCAGCTCCTCCCGGCCTGCAGAGCACTCCTCCAGCACCGATGGGAAGCCCTCAAACCAGAGCGTTTTCCCACGCGCTCCTCGGAGTTTAAATAGGGAAGGAAACAGACCCGTGGGTCTGGCAGGGACACCGCATGGGGAAAAGCGAGCACTGCAAAGAGCGACCCGAGGGATGCAAAGGGGAGAGCCGGGGGTTGGGGTGGCCCGTGGTGGCTGATGGTGACCGAACCCTTCTCACGCGCTTGGAGCCGTCGGTGGATGCAGGGCCTCAACCTGCAGGGCCCTCCCAGCGCTGCGAGGTGAACCAACCATACTGCTGAAGTCAAAGTACTCTTTCTAATCCCCCCGCCCGGTTTTCTCTTTCTTTCCAGCTTTCGTCCTCTGCCTCCCCCCCCGCCCCTCCCTCTGTTCCCACCCCCCTTCTGTTTCTCTTTCTCCCTTCTGTCATAAGAAAGTGACTGTGTCCTCGAGGGGACGGTTTTCTTATGCCATTTTATACACTGTGCTTCATGTTTAGAACTTTTTTGCACTAGTTCCTATTACATTTATTTTCCAAACCGGTTTGACAAAAAACAAAACAACAACAACAAAAAAACCAACAAAAAAAATAAAAAAGACAAAAAAAAAAAAAACAACAACAAAACCAACCGACAAAACCAACACAAAACCATGCTATAATTCCGTTGTATTAAAAATATTATCCTACTACTCTCTGTGTTCAATAGTCTCTGTACCTGTAATGCTTTCAGTTCTGTTGTATCCGGGGCAGAGGTTTGCTCCGCTCCTTGTTTAACCCAGTACGGAAATAAAATGTTAAGAGTTGACGATCCCCTGCCGCTCTCTGTGCCTCGCTCGGGGCTCGCAGGTCCGCGCTGCGCTCCGGCCGTGGCTGCCGGCGGAGCCGGGTCCGCTTTCGTAACCTTCCTTTGTATTTCTTTTGTTTTCTCGCCTTCGCATTTCTTGCCACGGGGCTCACCTCGGAACAATAGGGGCGAGGGCTGTCACCAAGAGATTCATCACGGAGCAGTGACTAAGCCGGGGTATCCAAACGATGCCCGGCCGAAGCCCACACCCGCGTGTAGTCTGGAATTAATTCATCTGGACGACAGATCTCGGCATGCGGCGGAGCCGAGGCTCTCTGCTCCAAACGGAGCGCTGCGTGCCCGCCTGCAAAGCTCTGAAGTTACGCTTCGGCCGTCCCCACCCTGAGCTGTGAGCTCTAAGATCGGGAAGGTGGAGAGAGAGAAGGGGGGAACGAAGGATAAAATGCCGTGGGTGCAGAAAAGACAACTCCAGCGTGCTGGAGAAGCAGATGGGGAAAAGCGGGGGCATGGGGGCACTGATGGGGCATGGGGTACTAAGGGGGCACGGGCAGCTGAACGGGGCTGGCGCTGTACTGCTCCCATACCATGGAAAGCCCCTGACCCGCTGCACGGCGCCGGTGGCAGCAGTGGGCGCAGGTGTGCTAACAGCCCTCCCTCCCACAGCTGTCTGCAATTACCAGCAACGAACCTTACCACACAAATGTGCTGCTGGGGGCACCTCCCCACCCTTCGGTTTGAAGGAAGCAAACCGCCTGCGTTCCTCTGGGAGGGCGCTCCAGGAGCAGCACGAGCTCTGGTTGGATTCCCAGGTAACCTCATAGCTTTGGTGTGGTGTCACACGGGAGCACTGGAGGTGTGGCACAGCTTGTTGGGTCCTTAGTCCTAAAGCCCATTGCTCTGGTTTGTTCCACGCTCATCGCTTTGATCTTACCGAGAACCTGGGAAGCAGATGCTGCAGATAGAGCCCTCGCTGTGCACTTGGGTTCCCTCACCCCGCCCTATCGCTCCCTTTTTTTTTGAGGAGGATCTGCAGAGCCCTGGGTGAGCCTTAGGCTGTGCTGCTGGCACAGGCTGTGTGGAAGCCCACGTGGATCAGAATGAGACACGTCCTCCACCTTCCTGGCTACGTTAGGATGTGGTCACTTGTACCTGGTGCAGAACCTGCTGCTGTCTGGTGCCTGGAACAAATCAGGTGCTTAGGAAAGGGAGAAACTCTACACACAGATTGTATAAGGGGGGCGATGCCACTTTCCTTAGAGTTTCCTCCTGTAGGAGGTCGGAAGTGTAATGTGGAGCACCGCACCCTGGTGCCCCAGTGTATAAAAATAAGGCCAAATGGAAATGGTCTCCATAAGAAGTGTGCAGGAGCTTCTGGTGGAGAAGCACGGCTGCCAGCAGCAGGGGGTTCTCCTACCACTTGTGTAGAGGGGACCATGCTTAGACTTACAGCAAAGTGTACACAGGGGTCTATGTCCAGAGCAGCTCTCAGGTGCAGTAAATGGGCTGAGGACACAGTGCAATACATTGTGCTTCTTGGGAGATGAGCTGAGGGTCAGCACTTCCTTCAAGCCATGAGCCACCACGTAAGTCATACAAATATGGAACGGGAAGGGATGTACAGGGATTCCTGTCCAACCCTTGGCCCCACACAACACCACCCAAACCCTATGGCTGAGAGCAGTGTCCCAGCACTCCCTGAGTTCTGGCAGCTTCAGGCTGTGCCCCCCGCCCTGGGGAGTTGTGCCACACTCACCACTCTGAGGCCTTCCCCTGACTCTGCAGCTCAGCTCGCCGTTCCCTCGAGCCCCATCTCCGTGCAGTCACCCCGCAGCACCGCTCCTGAAGCGCCAGCGTGCGGTTAGTGGGATCTGCGAGCCGAGCGGCGGGGATTGCGGCCACGTCCTTATAGAGCAGCAGCTCGGGGGTGTGCGGGGCCGTGCGGGCGCTCCCAGGATGTGCGGTACCACGCCTGGCCGCCAGGGGGCAGCACCGCGCCGCCCGTAGGTCCCACCTGCACGGGCCGGGCTGCGCGGGGCGATGCGGGGCACGGCTGGGCGCGGGGCTCGGCGCTCCCGTGTGTCACAAGGAAGCATCGAAAGGAAGCAGTGCGGTCTTCAAGCGTGGGCATCATCACGCCAACATCACAGTTGTAATCCAGAACCATTTCCGAGCTCCTGAAGCTGCTTTGTCTCCTCCTCGTCCGCAGCCACTCGGAGTTGTGAGGATTGGGCTGTGTGTCACCATGGGTTCCATACTGACACCAATGCTTGGATGCAAAATGGTGAATCCCAAAGTGATGCCTGTGAGCCATTGTTGCCCACGCTCCTCGTTGCTTTGCACTGAGCAGGGAGCCCATGGCTCTTCCAGGCCCTCTGAGTACCAGCGATGCTCAGAGCAGCGTGCCCTGCTGCTGGGATGAGCCCTTCATTGTTCCTTTTCATCTCTATCTGGGTTTTGTTGAGGATCAAACAGGTACCTTGTGTTGAGTGATGGGTTCTGCGGCTGGAAAGTTGGTGTGATGCCTCCTCAGAGGACCGATGAAAATCTTGTAGCTGGAGCTGAAGAAATTATTAATGATCGTAATTTCCCACAAGTTTTGCCTGGAGGACTCCTTTGTTCTCTTCTTTGTCTGAAACTTGTGTGAAGTAAGAGCTCACAATTTATTCTGCATTAGCAGCCTCTTTGCCATAGCAGAGCAGGCA